GATAATTTTGTAATTTTTAGGAAATATGCTACGTAATTAATACAATACAAATCTTATTGTTCATATCAAAATAATAATTGTTGTATTAATATACATAGCTTTTCTTTATTTGTTATATAGATTATTATTATCATTATTTGTATTTTTTAATTTTTAAGGAAATATTCTGAATAATAAAAACAAGTGTAGTTTAATTCTTAGTATTAAGAAACGCAAATATGACAGTAGTAAATTTATGTTTTGTATGGAGCAGAGATGGGAGCAGGCTTGTTAAGATGGCAAAAGATCTTCATGGTCTGTAATGCCAATAGAAAACATACATATATATATATATATATATTATATATATATATATATATATATATATATATAAAATTTGAATTTGAAAAAAAATTATTGAATTTTATACTAAAATATCTCACGTTATCTACCATAGTACCATTTATTTTTGTATTTTCATATATTGTTCCTGATAATATTTATATTCATTGCACAGATATTGGATAGTATTTATTAGTGATGCTATAAAACGAAGAAGAAAGGAAATCTGATGCAAAATAATGGAGTTATAGAATTATGATTAAACAAAATCGAGTTTGGGACCACTGTGCAGCGGTCCGTAGTTTGGAGACTCCTGCTGAACATGATAGAAAATTATGAGAACTATAAGATAAATAAAAAACGATTAAATATGGAAAAAAAGTTATGTAGAAGACTACATATGTTGAATATTTTTAATATGTTGAAGTTAGAACTTCAAGTTTAGATTTTTTTTTCATCCTCATAATTGGTCAGTCGACTATTTACCCTTCTCTTTAGATTTTTATATGTGAAAAAATTAAGAAGGAGATCAGTTTCAAACGAGTTAAATGTTTCTCTCTGACAGAAAACAGGTATGAATAATAGTCCTGGTCATTTAAAAAAAAAAAAAAAGAAGTAGTTTTTATGTCATATCATATAGAAGTAGTAAAAAATATGAAGCTGGTAAATTTATAAATTTAATATTTAAGAATATGTATATATATGAATATTAAATATATTGAAAATATATCTTGTTAATATTTTTTTTTTTATTTACAAATTTTATAAATGTTAATTTTTAAGGAAATATGCTGGATTGTTAATAAAAATATTATTTTTTCTCATATCAAGAAGCAGAAATGAAATGCTTACAAATTTATAGTTTTAATTAAATATATTGAATAATAAATATATCGAAAATAACAATAAGCAAATATATCATATTGATAATTTTGTAATTTTTAAGGAAATATGGTTCATAATTAATACAAATCGAATCTTATTCATATTAAAATATATAATTTTTATATTAATATACTATATAATATAATATATATAACTTTTCTTTATTTGTTATGTAGATTATTATTATTTTTTTTGTATTTGTTAATTTTTAAGGAAATATGCTGCATAATAAAAACAAATATAGTTTAATTATTCATATCAAGTAACACAAATATGATAGTTGTAAATTTATGGTTTGTGTTTAAAAATATACGTCGAGTTGCTGGTACGATGGAATGTCCGAAACGGTGCTGAGTGCAAAGGGCTAATACAAATGTAATAATATAATTTATGTCAAAAAGCAGCAATAACTGATATCAATATGATATGGATATGAATATCTTAACATAAAAGAAATGCTATAGGCTTCTTTCATAATAGATTGTTTTAAATTTAAATATTCAAATATTACTATTAGATTAATTGAATAGATAGGGTAAAGTCACCAATTATTGGCACTTTAAGGAAAATCTTCTAGTAATTTATCAATAATTTTTTTATTAATTATCTTATCCGTATGTTTTAAAGTTTTTCATACTAGTCCAAGTCTGCTCTACAGATTTCACTTATATATTGGACAAAATTCTATAAAGCTTTCAATTTTTTGTGCCCAATATAGATGACAAATTTTGCACCAATTATTGGCATGCAAAAACCAATTATTGGCATGCAAAAACCAATTATTGACAAGAAATTCCACCATCAATGATTTTATTTTGAACAAAATATTTTTTATTCATAAGCAAAAAATTATCACACATTAGTATATGAACAATATAAAACTTATTAACCATACCTAGATATCGCAAAATGGTGTGAGAAAGAAAATTATGTACTAAAGTAGGTAATTATACACTGGTACATTTCAATCAATATTTATAGAATAGGGAAATAAAACGCTATAAATGTTAGTTTCCCTTATCTATATATGTAGTATATAGTAAAGGAAGTATCGCGATTGTGAAAATTTTCGAATCTGAATTTGCAATGGAAATACACGTTTTGAGGTTCCCTGAGTCCAAATAACTAAACCCCACAGAATGGTCTGTGTGTATATGTTAACTTCATCTTTGTTAACTTAATCATTTGTAAACATAAAGTCAAGCTCAAAAACAAAACATATTAGAAAGCTGAAAATACATATTTAAGTTAGATATAAATCTGGGATATTACAGCAACTTTTTCTTTAAAATCAGCTAACTGGAAGTTTCACTTTATATTACAGATTTTTCAAATTTTTAAAATTGTATCAAAATGGCTCCAACGATTTTGATTAAACTTGGTGTATCAATGTCTAATTTTATGAATGCCAAACATTGCCAAAAATTTATATTCAAAGAAGAGCAGTTAGTAAAAATAGTGTGATGCACTCATCAGATTTTTTTGGCAATTGGTAATTATGTTTGACTAGTATTTCATTCTCATTAAGTTGGAAAACATTCTTCAGTCTGTTGTATGCTCTAAGAGGGATAGCAGCCACATTTCCTTCTGAAACTCTGAAAACTCGAAAAGCCATGATTACCGTTTTCCTTTTGGTAACTATCGAGACTCTGATGAAGTCACCCTTACTTATTATCTGATCTAGGTCTATTTCTGCCAAAATTCGACTTCTTCCATGTTTTTCTGTTTGTGGCAATCTTCAATGTTATTCTGTCCAAAAATTGCAACTGCAACACCATTTTTCACATTGAGAGCTGCCAACATTTAGCTCTTTTCACATCTTCTTCTTTCTAATATTGGGTTCTTCTTTGTACAGTATTTGTTTTTCTTCTTACCGGAAATCGTTAGAAACTTTTGAAATACTAACCTGTAAAATAAAAACAACCTTGGTCTTGCGAATTACGTATTCATTCATCTGCTAAACTTCCCACCAAATTGACAAAGGTAGGTGCCTTCAATATTGCAAACTATGTGATGAATGAGAGGTGTCAATAATTGGATATTCAAGCTATCTATAACTGGTGTAGTCCAATCCAATTATTGACACCTCCGCCAATAATTGGATACTTTTGTTAATTTGAAAATTTTTTGGCATATAAACAAAATTTTTATGAAAAACCTAGTTATTGACATTTTTCGTCAATAATTGTGGAAACTTGTTATTTTGAAGATCCAATTATTGACACCAGTAACACCTATTGTTTTTATCGAAATTCACATTTGAAAATGATATCATATCGTCAGGAAGCGGCAAGAAAATGTGTCTAAAGATTTTAAGCTCACAAACATTAGAGGACAAGATAAAATAGGAAAAAATGTTGTCTCAACCTCTTTGGCAAAATCCGTAAGGTTTCGGAGACTGAAGTGAAGTGATCAGAAATATATATTTCTTGCCTTATGTGTCACCCAAGAGGGACTTTATCTTGGCGGGAATTGGTGGCTGATTAATGCACCTTTGAAATGGAACAAATTTTGAAATCCTTCATGAACCTAAACGCTTATTTTAATTTAAAGTTACAAGTGTCAGTAATTGGTAACTTGTCAATAATTGGTGCCTTTAGCCTAATAGTTATTAAATAGATTGACAGGAAAAGAACCATTTTTGTTATTTCCATTAGGCATTTTTCTAAATCTTTTTGTTTTGACTAAGGAATTGAATACATTTATCGCAACTACTTTTAACTGAACCCTATGGTTTATTCCAAAAGAAAATGGAGTATTCTTTAGTTAGATAATATCCCTTGGTCAATTAATTTTCCTTCTGATTGATAAATTTATGCAATCATCTCAGTTATCAATCAATTACACCACATTTGAAACATTAATTGGTATACGGTGTTGGTGGCAATCGGTCTAATTAATGTTATACAAAATGAATTTAAACAAAATCAGTCAGTGTTTATATTATATTGCATTTAACAATAGAACAAAAATATTAGAAACAATTATATATGTATTTGGTTCATTTTTTCAAATTCATATTTAGGTACCTTTATTTTTCTTTTTGCTCCTTCATTTCTTGCTATCAATTATATTTTTATGATAGAATATGTTTGCAAAAGAAAAATAAAACAAAAAATTAATAAATGTTATCACACAAAAGAAGAAAACTTATTATTATTATGTACATTTGAATCTAAAAGGGATGAAATTTCATGAAAAATGGAAATTATTCTATTGCATGGACTGTTTTCACAAATCATATATACTACAATATGTATTTTATATTGCAAAAACATGTCAAATCACTATTTTCACAAGAGGAAGTTGATAAAGAGTCATTAATATTGTTATCTAGGTTACTCCATGAAGTATTTAAACACATTTGGCCACTGGAAGCTATAATACAACCAATGGATAAAGGATACTGCTTATTTAAAAATCTAAATTAAACGCTTCCACATTATTATTATTATTTTTAAAGAATTCCATTTAAACTTTCTGTTTCAGTAAAATAAGATTTATTCAATATCGATAAAAAAAAATTCATAAAATAAAAAAATTATATTATTTGTACAATTTTCAACCTTTTGTTTGTTTTTTAAAAATAGGGGTGTTACATAGCTTCAAAGTATACTTAAAACTATAGGAATTTAATTAAACTAGAATAATAGATTTTTGCAAAAGATATATGTATATATATAGAAAAATATAAAAAAATTAATCTAATCTAATTTCATTGTTATTCACATATGCTGTTATGATATGTGAAAAATACATTTAAAAAAATCTAAAAGATTCATTTAATAATATTCCTAATTAATTCTTTTCAGATCAATTTTTATTGGATTAGTTGCTTTGGGAGTAAGGAAGAGCGCTGTGGGTTGGTACTTCAGTGGCAACTTAGTTTCAGGACTGAGTGACAATTCAAAATTTTCAAGAAGATGAGCCATAAATGTTGTAGTCTCCATAGTAGCAAACCTTTTACCTAGAAATAGTTAAATTATTAATACATTTCTATCAATAACTTCAATTAGTTAGTAAGCAATCTATTTACTGAAGCTATTTACAATTTAAAATTATTAATCATAAATAAACAATTTATATCATATTCAGACAATTTAAATTCATTGTTGATTCTAATAAAATAATGTAAGTATTGTTGGGGAAAGGAACTGCTTAAAAAATTGGTTTTATCAAAATGGCTATTAATCAGTACTCATTTAAAGATTATCATATACAAAGTAATTTTAAAATTGAGTTATGTGAATTTATTTAACAAATTAATTTTAAACTGTCTGAACAAAGAAGGGCAATTAAGGGAATATCTTGTTGTACATAAATTTCAATAGGATTCTCATTATATATTGCTATATGATGTTATGTTATTTATTTTTATTCATGCCCTATTTCCTCATTATTTTTTATACCATTACTAAAACCTTTAAGTTTCACCAACAATTAAATACGTAAATTAAAAGCCAAATAGGCATATAATCATCTATTGAAGCTTTGATCAATAATAATCAGTCATAAAAGTTGGTGCTGTTTTTTCAAATCTACTAATTAAATATGTAATTTTTAAAAAAATCAAAGGGTATAAAGAAAGACACTAAGCAAAACCATTCATACAGAATTATTTGACAGGGTTCCAATAAATAATATAATTGTTTTGTTGGTTTATAAAATGCAGACATAACAAATATCATAAGATGGAGTAACTTTGGGACTGGATGGATAACTATGGAACAGCGGGTAAAATTTAGTTTGTGGTAATACCGTGGAGGCTACACTGTGTCGGTTCCTTCCACAAAAATGTGCTTTGTGTAGAAGCATGTAGTGCTCTACTATCTTGCGGCACAAGCGAAAGTTTCATGAAAACAAGAATTTTGAAAAAAGCAAGGGGAATAAGTAAAACCAAACTGCCACAAGGTAGTAGTACATTTCTATACAAAGGCCGTTTTTGCAGACTGAACGAACACGGTGTACCCACCACAGAATCATCCCAAACTATATTTTAGTTACTGTCCCAAAGTTACTCATTCAGTCCCAAAGTTGCCCATTCAGTCCCAAAGTTACCCCATCTTACGGTAGTGATATTCAAAGGTATTCGAATCACAACACAGAAGGCATGAAATAGGTTTTGTCCTATGATACATGAAGCTTTGATATTTTGATTGGAGCGAGACTGGTATTTAAATAATATGTTTAAAAATAAATAAACAAGATTAGGCGTTAGCATAATCATCATCTTTCACTTTTGAGCTAGGGGACTAACTGACAAGATAATGGAGAGTATAAACCGGAACCAAATTATTCCGGAAAAGTGAGCACAAAGCAATTCCTGATATTAAGATCAGATCTTAATATCATGAATTGCTTAATACCTGCGCAGGAAAAAAATTATCAATTGTTTCTATAATAAAACCTGGAGATCATGAATATCTGGCATTACTTATGAATTTATGAATGCTTTGAAATTAACATAGGAAAATGCCAAATACCGATATTATGGAACTTCGATAAAAGAGAATTTTTACTTAAGTTTACTATAATATTTTTTACACATTTAATAATCTTAGAATTAAACCATTATTTATTTTCTGAAACTTAACTGATGAATATTACAATCTAATTCAATTTCATTTTTAAACACATGAATTCCAAAACGTTGTAAATGTCAAAATATGAAAATATTACTTTTCATACTAAAACACATTGTAAATGCCATATATGACTATGGCAATAGAGTGGTGAGCCTATCTTTAGTTTTTTCAATTTTTTCTTTGCAAAATATGTTTTTCCCTTCTTCCTGTAACATTTTACTTTTGGCACTTACAACGTTTTGGAAGTGCACGATTCATATATGTCAAACCATAAAATTTAAAGTATGACAGATATATATGTATTCCTATGGTTACCACATAGTTAATGAGAAATGTTAGTTTATACAAACTATTTCAGTATGGTTAAAAATATTAGATTTGAAACCAAACACTAAGAAAGATTAACAACAATAAAAGCTAAAGTCTTTTATTAATATATTTGAAATTTTTTAAATACATAATGCTCTGAGCTACATTATTTGAAATGATTTAATAGGTTAGAATTATATCATTTATTAGCTTAAAAAAAGTAATGTGAGGTGTATTAAAAGAAACAATAAAGACTGTTTTTCTGACAGATATAGAAATTACCCAGACAAACTCGGGGCCCATCAGAAAATGGAAGGTGTGCAAACTTGTCATTTATCCCTTCCATAAATCTTTCTGGATCAAATTTTTCAGGATTAGGAAAATTCTTTGGGTCCATTTGTATGGTATGGATAGGTATAATTATCCTAGTTCCTTTAACAAGCTTGACTCCATCAATTGATGTGTCCTTGTCACATACCCTGTTTAAGAACTGAAGTGATGGCTGCATTCTTAGGGTTTCTGAAATATGGATATCCATTGGTCTATCATAAATTTATATTTTACTTAATACATTAATTAATATATCATTTTCTAAATAATTTCTAAAACATATTAATTGAATTTTAAAATATAACTACCCTGCACACAGGAATCTATATACTTCATATCTCTCACAGCTTCCCAGGAATAACCTCCATATTTGTGTAGGACAGTCTTGATTTCCTCTCGAGCTTTAGCTTGGCAATTTTTAGACTGAGCTAAGTTTGCAGCTGTGTATAACATGAGCAGAGAAGTTGCATCCATTCCAGCAAAGAAAAACATGAAGGCTTGTGCAATTGCCAAATCATTTGTAACATCTGTGAAAACAAGAAGTCACCAAATTATATTTTGAAGAGAGTTTTTTAGAATAAAATCAAATACATGTATGACTATGAATAGCTAATGTTTATTTTTTATTATATTTCAAGACTTTTACAACATTGGTCATATGTCATCACCAAATGTATGTTTTTGCCAACTTCATCAATCATGCCAGTCTTCTTCACGCATGCTCCTGTTCATCGTTCCTTCCTTTACATCCTCTTACCAGTTTCTCTTCGGGCGACCTTTCTTCCGTCTACTTTCTGGTTTCCAATACAAAATTCACTTAGCCCATCGTCCCTCTTCCATCCTCATCACATGGACATACCACTTCAGCCTCAAAGTTTCAGTGGTGTGGAGGATGTACTCCATTTGTTCCACTCGTTTCCTTATTTTGCAGTTTGGAACTTTTTGAAGGGGAGAGAAACTGCATGTTAGTCTCCAATAGCCAATTTCTAGGGCCAGTAATCTTTTTGATTGACTCTATTTAATTGTTCAATATTCAGCTGAATAGAGAGAAGTACTTTCCAGGAACAATTTGTAATTTTTTTTTTTTTTTTCAGGACATCACCTTACTCAACAGTACCAAACTTAAGGTTTGGGGGATTATCTTTTCATTACTTTTCCTCTTTTCAATATCCATAGCTAATGTTCTTGTCATATTCACCCAGCTCCCTGTTTATTTTCTGAAAGTGCTAAAATTTTGTATTTTCTATTCCGTAATCTTTTTTTCATTAAAAAAATTCAGAAAAAATTACTTGAATCAGAAAACTGCTAGACCATCTCTAAAAATGGGAATGATAGTATGGGAAATTTAAAAATATGATTTTTCTTTTTTTTTTTTTTAACAATTCAACAATACCTATAATAGAAAAAAAACCTGTACCGCTACAACCTGTACTGTTTCACTGTTTCAAGGCCAACAGTTGTGCAGGAAGGTGATCGGGGCAGAATCACACTCAACCGCCTTTAATATAAACTAATAAACATTTTACATTATATTTTCATAAGAGAGATTTACTGAAGTCTTTAATTACATATGTAATTTTAGATTATTCTGACAATCATGTTGTGAGAATAACGATATTGTATTCCTACATTAGATTGATGCCTCTTCCTGTAGGATCATTCATAATAACTGTTTTATCAAGTTTATCAATTCCACTTTTGTAACCATGACTGCAATTCCGATAGGTGATTCTCATCTGTAATACCTTAGGATTATCTTCTTTTAAGTGCCATAGATTTAGGTTTTGGCTTAGTTTCTGACCATCACAATGTTTAAGCTAATGATTAACCAACTGGGTTAGATCTTGACAATGGTAAAATATATTCCCTTCCTTTCTTAAAAATAATTTTCTTTTTAACAAGTAATAATACTAAGATAAATAAGACAATGCACTAAACACTATCAATTTTAAAATAAAAAAGATAAGCAACCTACCAAATGTCTGGTCTACTTTTTTGTTTTCCCTGTTGTAAATATTTAATTTTTTCTGCTCTCTCATCTGTACCAGAACTTGAGCATAGTCATTCCTATCTTCCATCGAATCCACCCTTTGGTTGAGGATGGTGTTCATTATGGACCTAAAATAGTTGTCAAGATGCTTCGGCATAAAGGTGAGGTGCAAAAAATCTGCTAACTTGGGAAAGTATGTGAGAAGAGTTTGTTGGGTATATCTCCACCATGTTGGTTCAAATATTTTCCTAGCTTTGGTGTAGATCTCCGCTTCAGCTGATTTTAGTATTTTGGTGCCAAACATACTTTCCATAAAAGTTCTAATGGCTAAATCACTCAGCATTTCTCTTTCCAGAGTTTTAGGATTGCTATTGAGCAATTGCAAACAGGATTCAGAAAGAGAAGGAAAGACGGATCTCATCTTACCAGTAGTAAATGTTATCAGCAACTTGTTCCTAAAAAAAATAAATTAATTATACACTATTCCATAGTATATAATAGAGTATGCCTAATAAACATTGTTACTTTTTGATCAATTAATTTTAATTCATGAAATGATATTCAATGAGATCATTTATGGTAGGAGGAGGGCTGTGTTGACTATAAATTAAAGTACAATATACGACAGCTATTAATGAGAAGAATAAACTTTTATTCTTCTCATTCCCACTGTTTCCTATTTTGTTATTGTCAGCCCTAAAGAAGACCTATTACAACTTCTGCAATAGAAAAATAAATTTAATTAGGAATAAATATTATGAAATTTATTTAATTAATAGATTAATTTAATTAAGAATATTTTAAATTAAAAATAGATGTATTATTCTTGCGCTAAAGAAATGTTTAACTGAAATATCTGTACTTTAAAAAAATATAGTGAATTTAGTTCAATTTTATTAAACTAGAATACAATATTGATATGAATCAGATTTATAAATATTTATTTAATTTTTTTCTTAAGGTTGTTTTCCCTTCTTTGACATTTTATTTTACATTTATATATAACATATTTGTAATATAAATTATATTATTTAATTTACTTGTTCTTTTACATAGTTTTATTATCGAATTATTATGTATTTGCTTTTTATTATCAAAGCGAAACAAGAAATGTGGAGTCTTTGTTATGGGATCGTGGTGTATTAAAATAAAAACAGTTGAGAAACAACATTACTCTAATAGACACAAAGCATGTTCAAGCTACACATTGGTATGAACCAATGTTATCACCTTTATTGTTATATTTATTTATAATAATAATAAAAGGCTTAGCGAACCTACATTTTTTCCTAGCGGCAATGTATTTCTTTGTGAATTTAGTTGGTTTAATCTGGTTAAATAACAATAATTATATCACCCTCTAAGGGCGCAATAACAGTGTAAAGTTATTCCGGCGAGACAGTGCCGTTTTGTTTCCTGATAGTTTTAGAACAAATGTGAAGTGCTATGTATGATTCATGGTAACACGAGATATTTGGACTAATTTACACTGAGAAACTGTATAAAATAAATAGATAAATTTATTCTTTGTCTGCCTTTAATATAGATTAAACAGACACTTTTTTGAGAGCAGATTTAAAAGCACTGTTAGAAAAGTAAATGGTCTAAACAATTCCATATATTCATGTTTTTAAATTTATTTATTTGATCTTTGTTTCAACCCCAAAGGGTCATTGGCGCAATGCTGTTAGTTTTTCCATACATTTTTTGCTATAGACGGATAATTTAAAGAAAATTCATATTTTTTTTATGTTGTCTTTACTGTCTTCTAAGAGCTCTTTGAAGTTTCCTAATAACTCCATAGAGGTCCGTGTTGTTTTGTTCAAAGAGAGTTTATTGTGAGAGGCCTCTGTTCTAGGTCTCGCCGAACGATTCTCAAAGAAGTAGGAGCTTCCTCCAGGAACTAGCTTACTCCAGCCTAATAGTGAGTATAGCTACACTAACTACAATATAATAGTGAGCGTTTCACTGTCATATTTTCAGAGCACTCTCATATAGGTGGATCTGATTTTCGCACAATTTATTTGGGAGAGAATTTGCAGTAGCCTATAATTTCTTCCCCCCCCTAGACTTTCTCTCGTACGTCTACCAATCCCGAAATATTGGTTCGATTTTAGCCAATTTCACGTTACTATTTCTCCATTAAGTTTTCCCTTCTTTCAAAAATTCGCCTTTTATATCATAAGTCCAATCTTCTTCAGTAACTAGTTCGATCATATTGGCTTTAGAATCAATGTTTTATCTTTCTATGGTAGCAGCAAGTTCACCTTTTAATCACCTGAATTACAACGTACCCACAAAAGAATGGCATTTTGAACGTTTGACTGAATTGATGACCGAATATTCTTAAAGCCACCCGGACACTCATTGAATCCATTACAATCATTGATCGAGGTATGTGCGTTTTTTGTATATATTATACGGCTTTCTTGCGGTTGATATCCAATGGAGTAGCAATCCGGGTGTTCGTCATACTAATGTCTACTGCTGCCTCATTCTCTCCATAGAGATTTTACTTTTATTGGAAATTGATAAATTTTATTAAAGCTTAAATTCGATATTCTCAGCATTTTGTAATTGTTTGTATGTTTACTAAAGTCCTGTCTTTATTTATATTATTGAAAAGCAAAGAGCTTATAAATGATTTTGGTTTGCTGATAATTTTGAAATATATTTAGCAAGGAGTAGTTTTTTGCGCAATTGAAGAGGAGGATCGCATGATTCAACGTAAACGCTTTTCAACGGAAAATTTCTACTGTTCCACATAAAATTGCTTTTAACTCAATTGATTTCTCATAACAGATTGATTTATTTTGATTAGAGAGTTTCTATCAGCTTCTCAGTTTGAATTAGAGATGGCTTTTAGAAGACTCATTGATTTGATGCAAGTTTCCCGTAGATATGCGAAAAATGTTCCAATAGTCCCAAATAACGATTGCTTTCTGAAAAAGCCACTTCAATACCTTTTAAAAATACTTAAGGATTTAGGTAACATCCTTTTTTCTTTATGGCAGAGGAGCATGACTTTCGTTTTAGTGGCCAAACCTTTTGGATCGGCTTCCTGCATTTTCCACTCCATGGAAGATAAGGATTTACTACGAACATTAATAGATCGAACAGTCGAATAGATGTGAGGTTATTATATATTTATTGAAAAGTATATTCAATAATTCAATGAAAACTTGTCGATCAGAATCGATGTAGGTAACAATAAAACCGTTACCTAGGTGATAGCCGATATAGCTTATGTAAGACATAGACGGATACATTTTCGACCGCGATCACGGGTGATTTTACTGATAATATTTCAATCGAAAAATTAATTGAAGTTACAATTTTTTATGGTATGGATGTACGTGCATGGATGTTAGGTTGGATGATAAACGAACCACATTAAGATAGATGAAATTAAGTTAGACCTTGCATTATTACAGATTATGTTTTTAAGAGGTACAGTCGAAGAATGTATTGAAGAAATGATTATGGAGGTATCTGAACGTCTGAAATTAAAATGTATAAGCTCGTTGTTACAACCTTCAGTATCCTTAACCTATGTTATTTATTTTGTCAAAAACGCTCCACGAAGTAGTATCTACTTAATGGTGCTGGAATCAATTTAGGTTGACAGGTGGGAAGAGATAACCTGTAACTATCAATTGTTGCTTGCTATCAAATGTCAATAACTTGTTTTTTCCGGTCCCACTTTTTTTTAATTCTAGAGAAAACATTAAAAGATAATTCGTAATTTTTAATAGACATTATTGAAGCATCGTTTTATTGTCCTCAATCAAGCCGATTTATCAATTGTCTTTTATTATTAATACCAAACATTTTTTTTTGCTCAACCGGTAAGAAAATGTTTAATTTCAAAGCTTATCGTAAAATGCATTCTTATACATAAAGTTTGGTCAATTATTGTTTACTATGGTAAACATGCATATATTCTGACACTTAGATATTTTCCAGCCACGATTTATCATGGTAATATTTGATATCATAGTTATAGTTGATATCATAGATAAAATTACTTTATAAGTTTAAATAGGTAAATAGTTCAAAATAGGTAGATATTAATAAACCTAAATCCTACATGAAATTTTTAGAAAATTGGGTTGCTTTCCATCCAATGATAAAAAAAAAATATATATATTAAAAAAAAATCAAATCCGGTGATCAAGTAAACCAACAATAATTCCTCTTAATAACAACTTTATGATATGCCTAATTTTATACTTATAATGTTTATTGAATAGCAGTAAACTGACCTTAGAGCTCGCCACCTGATACCACTCATGTTAAAAATGCTGTCATACATCACACTGGATGGTTCGAACAGAAAAGACCCATGGTCAGGGAATGTTGAAAATTCTCGAATGAGCACATGCTCGATGAGCTGTGTGTCTCGAAGTACGAGGGTGGGTGTCATGAACTCGTAAAGACCAACCATCCTTTCGTTCGGGAATGCTTTATATACCTAGAAATATTATTTTTTGAAAATTTTATTAAGATAAAATACAATAGGAATAAAAGAAAATGTATAAATTAGTGCTCCAGAATGGATTATTACCATTCGGCTATGAAGGAAGAAATTATAAGTTCAGAAAAAACATAAGTATTTTTTTCGGATGATTACAGTACGATTAATAAAAAAAAAAATAAGGTGTGCTTTAGACCACACGATAGAAGGACAAACAGTAATAAGGTGAGGTTAATTATATGAAATATAAATTATAAATAATAGCTTATTATAAATAGGATCAAATGCTGAACATTTCCCTTGCTTAAAATTCAGTTCATACACGTATAAGCTTACAAACACACATATTTACATTTCAGAGATTAAGTCACATTACGTCTATCTTGGAATCCTCATACCAGACTGAAACGACAAGAAACCGCTCGACGTTTCCGATCACTCCAGCACTTACTAGACAAACGCTCTAAGCACCCAGTCAATTACAAAAGACTCATATACATTATCATCCATAACGACCTTAATGTTCCTTATGTTTCTGACCTGGCCCGATTCAGATACCTATCTTCCATAACAAACTTCAGAACCATCCAAACCCTCTCGTTTCTAACCCTGCTTCCTCTTCGATCAGTAACAACCCTCCGAGGCGTCTGAAAAGAAGATGGCCTCGAGATCTCCTTTTGTAAATACATTTTTAGAGAGCTACCAGTGGGTAGTTTCTCAACAAGTGGTTACATGTTATTATATTATTTCGTTCACATTTACTGAATGTATTTTTATTTGTAATACAGTTGTAAATATCATCAATAAAAAAAAAAAGTCACATTGCATAATCTCTGTTGGTCATTGAATAATTGGTGACTTGTTAGTCATTGATGTAGTGCGATATATGAATGCATGAATGTGTTTGTAGTCCGACGCATTTCACAAATAAGGGCACTATTATTAATTATCACATATTAATTACTATATGTATGAATTATACAATACAATATACTTGTTGTTTTATTGTAAATTTTAAAATAATATGACATGGGCACAAAAACGCTTATGTATACAATAAATTACACTTTTTTTATCCTTAATCAGGAAATCGAAAAAATAAATATAAATAAAATAAAACACAAATCTTTTGAAGTAAGTCATAGTGCCACTCCATATTAAATGATAAGTGCACTAAATGTTGCACTGAATGAGCTATAATTTTAAATAAAAAAGAAGATGGTCTTCTGGTCTTAAGTCTGACTAATTTTTTTTCTACTTATAATACATTAAAAAGAGAGAGAAAAAAAATTATTCTGTTACACCCCCCTGGGGCAGGAAGATCCTCTTGGGACACACCAAGCTCCTGAAAATGGGCACTCTTGATTAATTAATTATAATGGCAAAACCTTATGATCTCGGCCACATTACGCCGTACAATCCTTAGCCAAGAAACAAAACTTCCTTAATTATTAAAACAACCAAGGCTTTACAAGTGATTATATAAAGATAGTATACATATTTTATTTAAAAAAAAACTCACTTTGTCATAATAATGAAAAAAATGTTTTCTAAAACTGATCACAGACAAAAAATTTCCAAATATTGGAACAGGAGTATGGTGTTTTACTCCCCTTTCCTTCCAGTACGTCATTGACTTCCAGATAATAATAGAAAAGTGTATAAGGCCCACCACCACAGCCAACGTCAATAGTTCCAAAGTCAACATTTTTCTGTAAAAAAAAAGTTAAATTGAAATGTAATTTTGATTTGGATATAGAAACGGGTATACACATAATATAATCTGAGATCAAACCAAATTTTCATATTTTGTTTGAACTAAGAGATAATTGAATAATTATTTGCACACTTTATTGAAAATACATAAGTTGATAAAATAAATCACTTTTCCATAAAAAAAATAAAATAAAATAAAAAATTGTAAAAATAAATTAATTTTGGAATTATGTAATAAATAAAATATTGATCATTTCCTCAAATGCAAGTTCAAGACGGCTCGGAGGCCAACAATATAGGTTATGTGAGTTTGAAATTAACAAATAAATTATGTCAATTCTTTAAAAATAGACTAAATGTTATTAAAGGAGTTTGAGAAAAAAATCGAAAAATTACATTACTTCTGGTTTTATTATTGAGTTGATATTAAAATTAAACATATTGAGCATAAATTGATATGAGCATTAATCTAGTAAAAATAAATACTCCAACATCAATTAAACCTTGTAAAAAAAGAATTAACGCTCTTTGGAGCCCGGGCCCCGGTTGACCCTAACTCTCGTCGGGCCTGCATCTAATTGGGCAAAGGTTACGTAATTAGATAATATTATTATTAAAAAGGTCTGTTATGAATATATATATATAAGATAAGGACAGGAGTCGGGCAGTAAACAAAGCTCTGAAATGTATATAAGAAGGATTACTTCACAAATAAAGCAGTATTGTTTCTGAAGTCGTGTGAGTCATTTAACAGCCCTTTTCTCCTTTTTTTTTTATCGTTTTATTTCACAGTCGCATAAGTGGTGCCGAAACCCGGGAATACTGTTATTGCCCAGTAAGTAGTGAACTATTTTTTGTCTCTCTTACTTTCTCAAGCAGGAAAACAAAATTAGAATGGCGACAGACGGAATTCCTAACCCGGGAATATCAATTGCACCGGAAGTTGTTCAGGCTCCTGAAATTCCGCAGATTCAAGAAATCCCTCCGCTACCAAGGGACACATTGGCGGAAGCACACGCCAACGCCTTGGAGTGGATGAAAGTAAGAGCAGCGACCACTCAGGATCTAAGGAGGGCTATAGCGGACTTGGAACGCTTCGGTGGAGAGGTAGGCGAACTGAATCATTTTCTGAAAGGTGGGGACCGTCTCATTTCCAGAATAGAGGCAAAAGTGGCCGAAGATTTGGTGAACCTGGGGGATGCCGAAGCATTGAAAGCAGCCTTGGTATGTAGAGTACGGAGAAGTGTTCTTAACCAGATACAGGCAGACGAAGATACATCATGGCCGGTGATCAAACAGAGGTTGAAGAAGGCTTTTGGGGGAGGCCGATGGACTCCGGAGGAGGACATCTTCCAGATGTTCAGGGAACGACGGTCGCAACGACAGACAAACGGACATTATGCGGGAGTACTATTGGCAAAGTACAACCACATCACGGAGAAGATGCGCGAAATGATGAGTGCAGGAGAAGTAGAAGCCAGGATGGAGTTTTTGTCAACTATCGTCAAGGTTCAACTGGCCAAGGAGACGGGAAAGAGGGACGGCTTACCAAGAGAGCGGTCGTTCCTAGAGAGTGCCCAGGAGATGGTCGACTTTAGCGCGAGGGAGGAAGAAAGTAGAATGGAGATAGAAGAAGCTGGATGGAACCGAGTGAACGAGAGACGCTTCAGGTCCGCTCCGATAGGTTGGAAGAAAAGGGAGCCCGAATACGGAAACAGAGGAAGGACCACAACAGGGGAAAGAAAACCAGGACCACCCAGGCCACGAAATGGACCCCGTAAGGAAGAAAGGAAGTGTCATGGCTGCGGCAGGACGGGACATCTAGTGGCTCAATGCCCCCGCACTAAATGTTTCGAATGCGGGACAGAAGGACACATTGCAAGGCAATGCCCGTACATGTTCAGAAGGAGGGAAACGGCACAAGATGAGCCGATGGAGGTCAACATGCATAAGGTGAGGAGGAACCCTAATATGACTCGAAGAAGTGGGCCTTCAGAGGAGATATCAGAGGCCTCGGAGACGGAGGAAGAGGAACCAGGGAGCAGCGGAGACGAAGGAGGAAGGAGCACGCAGTGGAGCGGACAAAGACGAGCGGTAACAGGGAGAAGCAAGCAGGCGAGGATCTGAGGAGTGTGTCTTCAGAGCGGCGACCGCACAGTGACATGCAATAATATAAGAGGTAAGTCTTGCTGGTTGCCAATCATCACAATAAGAGGGGAGTGAGGTGCTTGGTAGACACGGGAAGCACTAGCACTATTATGACCCGTGGGGCACTAGAGAGGCTGTGTGGTAGTGAGAGCGCACCCCGGATTCAGGGATGCGAGTGTAAATTAATTACCCTAGGAGGGGCGTGTAACGTGGAAGGAGAAGCGGTCGTTGAGTTAAACCATTGGGCAGGTAAGAAGGGGAATTTGAAAGTGCACATTGTTGGGAACATAACTCGGGAATACCAGGCGATAATAGGGTGCGACCTATTCGGACAAGTAGGGATTAGAGTCGAGTACAGGAATGGGACTTGGAGAATCAAGTTAGGAGGACAGAGGTACAAAAGTACGGAGAGCATAAGGGGTACGAAAGCGCGGATAGGAGCGGTAAATAGAGTCGAGGACTGGAGGAAGTCCATAAGAGTAGAATACGAGGATATCTTCTTCAAGGAGGGAGAGATACTAGGCGTAACGGGGAGGACACTCCACGAAATACCACTAAAGCAGGAGCGGGTGTCATACGTAAAGGAGAGGCGATATCCACAAGCAATTAGACAGCATATCCGGGAAGAATTGGAGAGTTTAAAAAAGCAGGGTATAATAGTCAACAGCACCTCTCCATACAACAGTCCGTTGTGGGCGGTGAGAAAAAAGGGAGTGCCGGGTGAGACAGAAGAGAAGTACCGAGTGGTAATAGATTATCGGAAGCTGAATGAGAACACGATAGACGAAAAATATCCGATCCCGAGATTCTAAGACATATTGGACAGGCTGAGTGGGGCGGTGATATTTAGTACGCTGGACCTCAAAGCAGGTTATCACCAAATAAAGATGCACCCGAAGGATCAACATAAAACAGCATTCACATTCCAAAGGGGGCATTATGAGTTCACCCGGATGCCGTTCGGACTAAAGAATGCTCCGATAACCTTTCAGCGCTTAATGGATGAATTCTTGAGAAGTTTGGATGAAACCGTATGCCAGGTCTATATGGACGACTTGCTGGTATTTAGCAAGACGGAAGGGGATTACCTGCGAAACGTATTCGAGAGGTTGCGCTAAAATTATCCAGAGAAAAATCACTACTAGGACAAGAGCGGATTAATTTTTTAGGCCACACAATTTCGAAGGACGGGGTTAGGCCGGACGCGGAGAAAGTAGAGGCTATTAGGAGAATGGCGGTTCCGCGAGATGTTAAAGGAATCAGGAGGCTCCTCGGGACGCTTAATTATTATAGGAGGTTTGTGCCGGAAATGGCAGAGTATCTGGTCCCGATCAATAATTTACTGAAAAAGGGGGCTAAGATGATCGTAACACCAGTAATGGAACAAAACATTAGGAAGTGTATGGACCGTTTACAAACAGAACCGGTATTAGCGTTTCCGGACTTCAGTAAGCAATTCACGGTTACCACGGATGCCAGCGAGTATGCGTACTGTCGCAGGATGGAGTAGGAGGAGAGCGGCCCATAGCATAAGCAAGTAGACGTCTTACCGATGCTGAGACGAGATATAGCGCTTTGGAGAGGGAATTGCTCGCGATAGTGTGGGCTATCGATCATTTTAGGCCTTACGTTTTCGGAAGAAAGTTCAGGGTCCACACCGATCACAGGCCCCTTCAATGGGTCGGGAAATTAAAAGAATCCTCCGCGATGGAAGGAATTTCTCGGCCAATATAATATTGAAATAGTGTATAAGCCAGGAAAGGAAAATGTGGTGGCCGATTGGCTATCGAGAGCCATAGTGGTTAATGCAGTCGAGGAAGACAGTGGTGGACCATCACTGGACAGTGATGTTCGACAATTCCTAAGTGAATGGACACCAGAAAGGGAAGGAGAGGACGGTGCGAGAGACGTACGGCAGGGAGAGGAGTCCCCCGAAGATGAGAGCTCGACGGAGGAGAGGCCAGCAGAGATGGAAGAAATTGACGAGATCATCAATGACAAGCGTCACCAGGTCATCTGGAAGACTAGGACAGCGGGTATGATGAAAATCGACTACAGCCGCTACGGTAGAAGTAAGGTTCACACAATCTGGTCGCAACCAGGGGTGCGTGAGGATCAAATCTGCAGGGCGCTGAAGGATGCATCGGAGCCAGGGAAGACAAATCATCTCTATGTGGGGAACGCCACAATATGGGAAAAGATTAAGAGGATTTGGAGGTCCGAAAAAATCGGAATAGATAGAATGTTTGTCCGATGCAAATATATGGTGGAGACAATAACGGACGAGGAACCAGGGAAAAACAAACCATAGGGGAGTGAACGAAACCTTACAGGCACTACGCAGGAAGTACTTTTGGTGGGGAATGAGGAAGACCATCCAGGAAACGATAGGAACGTGTGAGGTGTGTATGCGCACGAAATACGACAGACACCCACCTCAGGGAAGGCAGGAAGAGACACCCACGGGAGACGCACCATTACAAGATCTCCAGATCGACACCTTCACATGGAGAGGGTATAAGTGGGTAACCATAATCGATACTTAGCAAACTTGCTATGGCGTACCAGATATTGGAGAAATCGTCCGATGCAGCTTTAGAAGCTATTCAAACATGGATGCAATTTTACGGAGTACCTGAGAGAGTCTCCTCGGATGGAGGAAGGGAATTTGACAATAGCACAATGAGGGAGGAGGCAAAACGCTTGGAGATAAACTGGCACTTCAATACACCAGGGCACCCCAAAAGCAGAGGTAGCATCGAGCGGCTGCATAGTACCCTGAGCGACCATATACGCGTGTATCAGGGAGAAAAAGGATTGGAGCCCGACATTGCTATGAAAAAG